CCTCGCTCAGCCAGTGAGCGGGAACCGGTCTGTATGTGGGATCCGAACCCTCGGGCGGGAGCGCCGCTGCGCTTCCCAAGCGGCGCACTTATCCAGTGCGCCACTGGGCCGGCCCCTCAACAGTAAATACTTGCTGAATGAATGGTTGCTTGATTCTGTGGTTTTAAATCAATACACTGATTTAATATTTAACAGAGACTAAGGAGAAGTGCAAAATTAACTCTTACATAGAAAGACGGGTCTCATTCAATAGTATTAATTATGAATTAGTTTTAAATATTTAAGATTAAAACATAATAAACACTTGTATATCCACCACTAAGTTTAAGAAATAAATTATGAATAGAGCTGAAGGTCTCATATACTGCTTTCTAATCCCATTCCTTTCTCACCCCAGTAGCCCAAAATCTAGAATGTGGTTTTATCATTTCTATGCATTTTTCTATACTTAAAACACATCTGTATATATACCTATGTAGCACGTAGTATTGTCCTACATGATTTTAAACTTTTTACATGGTTAAATTTCCTATGTGGTTTCCAACACAGTATCTGAATGGTAATCTTAGGCAAGGCTTGGGAAAGTGGCATCTCACTGAGGTTATTCTGAAGAACTCCACAAAGCCACCAAGTAACAGTTGTAATACAGCCATCAGCAGTTCAGTTAACGTCAGCCCAAAGCCTAAGGATAATGCTAAAGTAGCATTTTCTGGATGCTATAATCTCTTGTGCTGACAGCTGGTTCATACAGGGCCCTGGAACACATTAGAAGACAGTTTCACCTCCAGGTAGGCAACCCCATGCCAAAGTGTATGGCCTGGCAAACTTAACCTTGAAGTGGGAGCCCTTGAACGGTGAGCAACCTGCATAACTACAACCGGCAACCTGTCATATGTTACTTACTATGCACCAGGAATAGTACATGAGTTGACTCATTTAATTCTCACAACAGAGGGCTGGACTGTGGCTCACTTGGGAGAGTGTGGTGCTGATAACACCAAAGTCAAGGGTTAAGATCCCCTTAACCGGTCATCTTTAAAAATAATAATATGGCTCACTTGGGAGAGTGTGGTGCTGATAACACCAAAGTCAAGGGTTAAGATCCCCTTACCGGTCATCTTTAAAAATAATAATAATTATTATTATTAATTCTCACAACAGTCATAGGAGATAAGTATAACTTTCCTCCCATTTTATAGATGTGGACTACTGAGGCACAAGGAGCTTAAGTAACTTTCCCAAGGTCATAAAGCTAGTAAAGAGGGTGAAACTAGGACTTAAACCCAAGGAATTTGGCTCGAGTCTACGCTCTTAAGTGCTAAGCTCTACTACCTCTCATTTTAACCTTCCCAATGTGGACTACTGAGGCACAAGGAGCTTAAGTAACTTTCCCAAGGTCATAAAGCTAGTAAAGTGGGTGAAACTAGGACTTAAACCCAAGGAATTTGGCTCGAGTCTACGCTCTTAAGTGCTAAGCTCTACTACCTCTCATTTTAACCTTCCCAAGAACTCTATAAAGCAGGTATTATAATTAGATTCTCCAATTTATAGTTAAGACAAGTGAGATGCAGAGAGTTGGATAATTTGCTGAGGGTCACGCAGCTAGCAAGTGGCAGAGCCAGGACTTGTACTCAAGCAGTCTGACGTACCTGAGCAGTACTCAACTGCCAAGATGCAACCCAGCGCCAGGCTATCATTGGAAGAATGCCCCAAACCACCATACCTCTGAGTCTCCTGCTGTTGCATTATTTTATTAGGCTTGGAACCCTTGTAACTGCCATAATAACTTTGGTGGAACTTAGCTATAGCTGTTTACTTGGTATAAACTTTACAGAAACACAGGTAGGAAAAAAGCTCAAAAGATTTCTCTAGTTTGAAATAATGAAGGACAGGGGAGTGTGGGGTGGGGAGGAACATATGAATTAAAATGCCTAAATTGCCTAAAGTTTTTAAAAAGAAATATAGTTGGATTACTTTAGGGTAAAACTCCTCAAAAGGCTCTGCACACTCATGACAGTTTAAGAGTAATGCAGAAGCTCCTGTATTAGTTATCTATTGCTGCATAACAGATTACCCTAAAACCTGGCAGCTTAGAACAGTAAGTGTCTACAATCTCACACAGTTTTTGAGGGGCAGGGTCCTAGGAACAGCTTGGCTGGGTGGTTCTGGCTCAGGGTCTCTCATGAGGTTGCCATAAAGCTGTCGGCTGGGGCTGTCGTCATCTGAAGACCTGACTGGGGTTGGAAACTCCAGTTCCACGATGACTCCCTCACATGGCTGTGGGCAGGAGGCCTCAGTTGCTCCCCACGTGAGTCTCTCCACATGGCTGCCTGTGTGTCTCCATGACATGGGCAGCTGGCTTCCTCCAGAGTGGGCAACCAAAGGGAGGCAGGGGAAGAGGGAGAGCAATGAGGGAATCACAGTGCTTCTGCGACCCAGTCTCCGGTCCCTTCTGCTTTGTTCGAGTCATTAGAGGTGAGGTGCTGAGTTCCACCCACACTTAAGAGGAGGCGACCAGGGGCTCCAGCTTTTGAAGGGAAGAGTATTGAAGACTTTGGGGACTTTTCTTAAAACCACTACTCTTCCCACACTGATTTCTGAGGGGACATGTCCCTGAAGTAAGTAATCTGATATGAGATCAAGGTGAAGTTAAGAGGCAGCATTCTGATCCTGGCTTTGCCCCAAACTGACTTTATGACCTTAGGAAGACCTCTGTGCCTCTCTGGGACTCTGTTTCCCCTGGTGTAAATTTGGTGGGAGAGAGGAAGAGTGCTACAGTCCACTCTGTGAATCTCAGTTTGGCAGGAAAAAAAACAAACTACCTCATTATTTCATGGTTGTATTTCCTATGCGTGAGAGCCACACAGTCGGCAGCCAGACTAGAAGCCCAGTTCTCCACTTACTAACTGGGTGACCTTGGCAAGTTACTGAATCTCTCTGTGCCTCAATTTTCACATCCATAAAATGGGAGAATATAATATCACCAATCTCGTAGGGCTGTTCTAAGCATCAAATGAGTTAATGTTTATAAAGTTTTTA